GGGGGGGGGGGGGGGGGGGGGGGGGGTGAACTGTATTAATCTATTCTCATAACTACACACTGTACCCAAATGCTATATTTTATATGTCATCTGGTGAAAAGGACATTTCTAAGAAAGTCCTATATTTTATCCATTTTGTCCGGGGTGAAGTTGAGGGGCTAACAGTATCTATTCCTCAGATAGTAAGGGCCATATACTACACGCTATCCAGGGGGGGAGGACTGAACCAGCAGTTAAGCACGGTATGAAAACGTTCTCTGAAGATCTACGGTACTAACGGATTGTTCCAGAGCTCATAATGGCGTGTTTATTGTATTCAGATGAGCATGGGGCGGATTGTTTGAATTTTGATCCAGTTTACCCGTCAAGTAATATGTAGTTAACGTTCCTTTCCCTTTGACTTGCACTAAGCCACGATAAATAAACGTATATCCTTTGTCTTTTAGCATTTCATATGTTTTCTCCACAATCTGCGAAAGAGAAATGGCAGTTAGTTTAATAGGGTGGACACAGCAAGCAGATTGTTGGTGACCCGGTGGTTAGCGCATGTCCATTTCACTTCTGTGACCGCATAGGGTTGGATTTATACTGGACCTCTAGGGAGAACAGTTTGAAATTGAGCTATCCAGTATAAGATAGCTTAGTTTAGAATTCTTCCTGTAAACACTGGATCAATAAGAGATTATCCTTACTGGACCTCTAGAGAGAACAGTTTAGAACTGATATAACTATACAGTATTAATAAAGTTAGTTCAGTTTAGGTTTCCTCCTGTAGTAACACTGGATCAATAAAACATGATCCTCACTGGACCTCTAGGGAGGACAGTTTAGAACTGATAGAGCTATCCAGTATAAATAAAGTTAGTTTAGTTTAGGTTTCCTCCTGTGGTAACACTGGATCAATAAGACATAATCCTTACTGGACCTCTAGGAAGAACATTTCAGAACTGATAGAGCTATCCAGTATAAATAAAGTTAGTTTAGTTTAGGTTTCATCCTGTAGTAACACTGGATCAATAAGACATAATCCTTACTGGACCTCTAGGAAGAACATTTCAGAACTGATAGAGCTCTCCAGTATAAATAAAGTTAGTTTAGTTTAGGTTTCATCCTGTAGTAACACTGGATCAATAAGACATAATCCTTACTGGACCTCTAGGAAGAACGGTTTAGAACTGATAGAGCTATCCAAGACTCACTTGTATGTATCCACCCTTGCCAGTGCTGTCCATACGGCTGGCAACATTCACTGTATTTCCCCAGATGTCGTAATGAGGTTTCTTCGCACCAATTACACCTCCTACCACAGGACCACAGTGAAGACCTGAAAAAACGCAATTTGTGAAAATGTTGGCTTAAAAAACAACCGTCTATGATTCTTATTTTCCAAACTGGTTGGACGTCCGCCTATAGTTACATACATGCAACCAATGAGTCAGTTAATCGTACTTACCAACTCGAAGAACAAAATCGTTGAACGACTCTTGGTTTATTTCTTTTAAACGTCCTTTCAAAGCCAAAGCAAAGTCGACCAAATCGAGCAGTGGCTTCCATGAGCTCTAAAAAATGTTGATACAAACAGCATAAACCCCACACTCATGTAACTACTAATCTTAAACTCAGCAGCAATTGTTAATGCTCATACCTGTTCATCTTTCTGAAGCCCAGAAGCGAGGCCAGAGGCAGCCATATATGTACTACATATTGTTTTTATTTTTTCCACATCTCCGAATCTCGGGTCGTCAAGCAGCTAAAAAATAACAGTGTGAGGTCTATTTTCTCTTGATGTGAGTGTTTATATTGGAGAAGATGATAATGATCAGGTATTGATCGTGTTCGTGGTGATTCTGGCAATGTTGATGATGAAGATGATGATGATGACGGTGGCAATGATGATGATATGATGATGGTGATGATGATGATGATAACGATGATGATATTGCATATTGCATATTATAAGCTGAAGGTCCAGTGGTGTAACGCTCATTGGATAGGGTTAGTTCAAAAACTAAGGGGCCCCGACAGTTAGGGACACCATCAGCCACGGCCTATCGCCCAGAAAATTAGAAAACGTAAAAAAATGCAGGTTAAGAATCAATAGGAAATAATAAAGCCTCCATCGACAACGATAGCTGGGTTTTTTTATCTCAAAAATAAAACAAAAGTTATTCTTATTAGTTGTTACATGTGTTGGAGACTGTTATTGTTATGGACACACAATTTTCCAGAACATTCTATAAATATTCAATATAAATATAATATCTCGGTCAAACAATGACAACGGTCAACGTGCAGGGGCCCCATGCACACCAAATATGCCTATAAGGGCTTCTCCGTTACGCCACTGGCTGAAACTTTACACTTTTAGCCTTTTACTAACATTGAAGTGCTCTTTTCATTTCTGGGGTTTATTTTAAGGGAGCTTGAGTCACGTGACCAATTATTGTAAAAGGCTTATTATAGGGAGATGATGTAACAGTATAGTAGATGGTTATATTGGGTATGGTGGCATATACCACTACAACGTACCTCATCGAAGTCAGAAATGACCTCGTTCAAAAACCGCATGCATTCCACGCCACTGTTATTGATGCTATCCTCCGAATAAAAGTCGTCAAAATTTGGGATGGATGCAAACATGACACTCACGTTCTTGTAGGAATGGCTGTATAACTCCTAGCGTAGAAAAAAGATTGAATTAATACCCATATGCCTTGTTTCTTCGCGGCTGCTTCTTGGGATGGATCAACTCTGGTTTCCTCGTCTAGTAACACTTGACCAACAAAGGCTGGCTGTTACTGAACAGTTCAGAACTGATAGAGAGCTATTAGGGTGCATTCAATGTCTCGCATACCGTCTCATCCTTATCTTGATTCTGCATGAAATGCGTCGCCACGTAACTTGGTAAAATGTTATTGATCAAAGCTTGATTTCTTTGTTTGATATTGTTAATTTTTTGCTTGCTTTCCTCGGCCTAAAATAAAAATTATAATGTTAACCCATTAAGTTGCATATTGCACCTGACTGCACCCTTCTTTATTATTTTGCTCTTTCTAACGCCAGATGATTTTACTCGTCAAGGCGAGAGTGCTCCAGCTCAATGGATTAATAACGGTCATTGTCTTGAAAATTGTCAATTATGTGTTACACTGTCGCATAGAAAACGTTTTATTTATTATGTTATTATTCCATTACCTCCAATTTCCAGACGAACAACGTCTTGGCTGTTTTTGCCGTCTAAAAAAACATTAGAACAAACGCGGTTTAGAAGTGAGTCACATGCTTCTATACCGAGGCACATCGATTGACCACACAAATTCTTCTTTTACCAACCTGACGACAATGCATGGTTAGAATTAGCATACAAAATGTCAAGACGATTGGTCCAGTATACTTGCTATCAACATAATCACTTGTACTGGAAAATAAATTTCGAAACACCATTAGCGTGACGTTACTGGATATACCATCTAGCTTTGTGAGACCGCATGGGTTTAATCACTGAAATATACAAT